CACTATGCTACCAGAGCTCCCATATATATATATTGTGTGTATATATATATACACAATATATATACATATATATGGTATATATAATGTATGCATATGCCTATACACACACACACACACACATTAAGAAATTTAAAAAGAAAAAGTACTAGGGAATGAGGACCAAGATGAGCTCATAGAACTGCCTTGTTTTAGTACCACTTTGTCAGGCTGAACAAGGAGCTCTGGTGGTGCAGTGGACAATGTAGTTGGCTATTAACCAGGTCAGTGGTTCAAACCCACCAGCTGGTCGATGGGAAGAAGATGAGACGATATATTTCCCATAAAAATTTGCACCCTTGTAAATCCTCTGGGGGTCACTATCAGTCAGAATCAACTCTATGGCAATAGCTTCCCTCCTCCCAGGTTAAATATCCCTGTGTTTGTCGATTTACAATTTTATTCTTGGGTGAATACTATAGGACACTCATACAGATGTGTATCAGGGGACATGTTGATGAATGTTGAAAGCCCCATGTCATAATACCAAACACTGGAAGAACCTAATTATTTAGTGAAGGAAAAGCATAGATAGATACTTATATTACACAATTGGTAAGATGAAATAGCAGTGAAAATCAAGAATGAACAAAGCCATACAACAAAACCTCAGGCAAAAAAGAAGACATCTCACAATACAAACTGTTAAAACATTTTAAGATGAAACAATTGAGCAACATGACAGTTTGTATGCAATGACCAGTAGAACAGGAGTCTTTGCATAATGAATAACACAATAGAGAAACCCAAGGCTGCTGGGTGGGTTTGAACCTCCCGATATTCTTTAGGTTGGTAGCCATAAGTGTTTCTAGAAAAGAGGAAATACAAAACAAACTAAAAAAAAATACATGGGCAAAGACTATAAAGAATTATCAAAAGACTAAGAGCACAGAAAAAAGATACTCAATCTTATTAATAATTAAAAGAAATGCAAACTATTCATGAGTGAGATTTTTTTTAACAAAGTGGATCACTGCAATCACTGGGAAGCATGTGAAGAAAGCAGCGTCCTTGTGTGCTGTCTGAACAAGTGTGAGTGGATACATCACAGAAGGTAAGTAGGCAATGCCAACAAAATTTAAAGTAGTCAGATACATTAACAAAAAATCTGCTTTTATGGAAACATTTCACTAGAATAGAGAAATACAAAGATCTGTGAGAATGCTTATCACAATATAACATATACATTTGCTGGAACCTACCTGTCCGTCCATATTGCATATATAGATCACAATAAAATGCTATGAAAAAGAAGGGAGTTTTATGTGCTGACAAGGAAGATACCTTTCTATGTAATCGCATTGAAAAATGACTCAATGTATGCATATGCCTATAATCTCCTACTTATTTTTAAATATGTCAGACAATATCATCACCATATAAGAATCAAAACATTTGAAAGAATGTGGATGAGAGCTCTGGTAGCATAGTGCCTAGGGCACTTAACTGCTAACCAGAAGACTGGTGGTTCAAACCCACCAGCCACTCCTTGGAAGGAAAGTTGGGCAATCTACTTCCATAGTGATACTGCCTCGGAAACCCAAGGAGGGGTCTCTATGAGTCAGGTTCGACTCGACGGCACACAACAACAACAACAACAGAGTGAGTGAATAAGACATGCCTGGAGAAAAAGTTCGTAAGTCATTTTTTTGACGTACTTTAATTTTTTTGTTCTTGAGACCGTTTGGTGCTAAATAATAAGGAATGTGGGAAGAAAAGAGACGAGGAGATGGTTGCTTGAGAAAGTCCACTTTGCGTATATTGTACTCCAGGAAAGGGGCTCGATCAATTGTTTCCACAATTGCAGTTCTGTTACGATGTTCCTCAAAATAAATCAAGCTTAGTATTTGCTGAGTCCAGATTGTACCTGCAAAAATGAAAAATCTTGTTTTCAACTCTGAATTGATTTCTAATAGTAAATGTAGAAAGGCACTCTGGTGGCACAGTGCCTAAGGCATTTGACTGCTAACCAGAAGGTTGGTGGTTCAAACCCACCAGCTGCTCTGAGAAAGAAAGATGGAGCGATCTATTACTACAGAGATTCACATGCTCTGAAACCCAGTGGGGGTCGGTATGAGGCAGAGTGGACTCAATGACAGTGAGTGAGTAAATGTAGACAGTCATGCCAGCCATCTTTATTCTAAGGCACTTGACTGCTAACCAGTAAGGCTGGAGGTTCAAACCCACCAGCCACTCCTCAGAAGGAAGGTCTTCAACCTAAATGTACCTTTAAATTTGGCCAGATGTTGTTTTTTATTTGTTTGTTTTCTATTTTACATTAAAATTAGTAAAGCTACAATCAAGTTCTATTAGTTCCTTTTTCACTTTGAAGAGTCTTAGGTTTTCTGATTCCATGGTGAGCTGATTCAGAGGAATTCTTCAGCTCCTTCTCTCTGTTTCCTCTACTTCATGTAAGGTCCCTTTTTATTGTCTTCTTTAGCTACATCTGTTTTTACTTTTTAGTCTCCATTCTCAGAATTTTATCTTTTGTAAATAGAGAAAAATTAAGAGCTCAAGTCCCAGATGTCTATCCCCTCAAAATTGTCTTCTATTTCTCCCCCTCCTCCTGGTTTCTATCATTTTCAGCTTCATGTTATGAAACATTTTCTTATACCAAATGGCCAGTGATAGTCCTTAACTTCCCATGAACACATTATTGGAGACAAACCAAACCAAACTCACTGCCGTCGAGTCGACTCTGACTCATTGCAATCCTGAGACAAAAAAATTTCAGTGTACTTGTAGATTCTGGCTTCCTGGAACAATCAACCCTCGACGTTGGCTGTATATAAAAGGATTTGGGAAATCATGGAAATGTTTTGAATAATTCTCTTTCCATTTAAATGAAACCAAAACCAAAAACCAAACCCACTGCCATCAAGTCTATTCTGACTCATTGTGACTCTTAAAGACAGAGTACAACTGCCCCCTAGGGTTTCCAAGGCTGTGAATATTTATGGAAGTAGACCACCTCAACTTTCTCCCAAGGAGCAGCTTTAGGTTGGAACCACTGGTGGGTTCAACCACCAACCTTCTGGTTAGCAGCTGAATTCCTTAACCACTATGCCACTAGAGCTCCTCTTGATGGACCCAGGTGTGATAAAATATACTTGTACTAATTTTTGGCAATTTTTATTGGTGAGTATTGTGAATGATTTATTAGTGACAATACAAGGAGTAGAACACACTATTCCAACTCTTCCAAGAAAGATTCAGAAGTGCATTTATGAAGCAGAGCCTGCTACTTTGAAAGGACCGGTTAAGCCAAGGAATCACAAGCTAACAGATTGGTAACAATGAAAGTTTCAGGTATCTTCTCTGGTCAATTACAAAAAACCATCACCCACTCAGATATTGGCCCAAAACCTTCAAGGGAACCTAATTTTGATGGTGAGTATTGAGTTCTTTTGTGGCCATACTGGGTCAGTAACCATGTGAAGATACTCAGTTTGCACTGTTCTCTCGCTGCCAAGTCTCAACCTGGCTTAGGAGAATGGACTTTGACCAGGCTCTCAGAGCTGAACTTAGGAAGTCTATGGAAATGCATCATTAAGAACTTCAATTGCATCTTAATCTCAACACAATAAACAATGACCTCAGATATTGTTTTAATTTCCTGGATGTTAGCGTGACCACACTTTAGGTCTACTGCAATTCACTTCAGAAAAACTATTTTGTCTCATCTAAGAAACACAAGAGGAGCTTTCAGTGTGTTGGGAATTCGTGAAGATGAAAATCAGCATTGGTAGGTCATTCTTCAAGGGAATCAACCTAAATAAGAAGTTAATGTTGACTGCTGTGCCCTCAGTAATAAAGGCTTTTGTTCCTGACCCAAAACGCTCATATCATCTGCCAAAATCTAGAAAGTGTGCCATTTTCTTCTTAACCTTGCATGCAGGACAAATCTCAGTCCCTTTTCAGATCTTGACAATCACAACCTTGGTTTCCAAATCTACCACATGACAGAATGACTTTCTCAAGTTATTCTCAAGTTCTATAATATATTTAAACATTACAAAGATGAAAAGACAAAACAGAGGCAAATTAATGAAGTAATTGGAAACATCTATTTACTCTAATGACCAAACTATGTATGACCAACTTGTTCGTGGTGTTCTTGGACAACCACACGATGATCAAATGTGAAATTGTATGCGAGAGTTTAACTCTAGCTTTAATTCTTTGTCTACATCAACCACTGTGAAAATTCAAGCCAAGCCTTCCAACTTTCACCCTGTGCTGAAGTAGGCATCACCATGATAGAAGATTTTTCAGTGCCTTCTGTGACCCCAAAGTATCATGGTTCCTCACTTCTTTGTAATGACGGTCTTCATAGATCTAAAAAAACAGATCTCTATAGCAAACCCTAGAAGCTCTGGTAGCATAGTGCCTAAGGCACTTGACTGTTAACCAGAAGGCTGGCAGTTCAAACCCACCAGCCACTCCTCGGAAGGAAGATGGCACAATCTACTTCCATATTGATATCACCTCGGAAACCAAAGGAGGGGTCACTATGAGTCGGGTCCGACTGGACGGCACATAGCAACAACATAGCAAACACTAGAGGCTGAAGGCTTATTTGAGGTTCTTAAACTGGAATCCAGCTATCATGGAATACTTGTCAAAAAAATGAATTCTGTTGGAGAATTAACTTTCATCAGAAATAATGCTAATTAATGAAGCATTGACAATCAGGAGAGAGGACTATTTTCAACTGAGAGCTGTCAAAAGGAAAGCAATGTTTGCCTAAGCTGGAATGAAAGACCAACCTGGAAAATTCAAAGATACCATATTTTTCACATACCAAATGATTGAGTTTGGTGGATTATGTTCACAGATTTTATTATAGACCTGTCACGTTTGACAGCCATAATTTAGTGCTAACACTAAGAAGGCCTCCTATTTAATTCCCTTAACTGTTTATACAACTCTTTTTCTGTGTAATACCTACAGTGTCATGACATTCTAGTCCAATGACCAGACTCCAGGTGAACTCGCATTACTGGAGGGTCCCTCTCCAGGTTCTGCCTATCGAGGTAAATATGTTCCCTATTGCTACGGATAAAGCAATGTGTTTCTAAGTAAACAAGGTCATGACTTTCAAAGTAGAGGGAAAGGGCTTGAGAATGTCTAGGAGCAGAAGGAATACTTTCTATTGTACTAACAGATTCCAGTGTAACTTTGAACAGAACTAACTACACGATATAACATTGCTTATATATAACACCATATCTCCTATGTTCTAGAAGCTTTTGGAATGGGGCATTTGATGTCAGTTCATTTACTTCAAAATTATTTCATTGCTACATGAATGTAAAGCAATCAGCATTAGTCAAAAACATGCTAGTTTCTCAAATTACCAAGAATTTTCTCTTGACTCAGTATTTGGTTTCTTTATATTTACCATTAGAAATGATAATATATGCATTTTAATGACCTTATGTCATAGAGGTTTGAGTTTCATTTCAGTTTTTTTTTCTTTTTTCTGTTCCTCAATGATGTCTAAATATAGATTGGGCTGCTCTCCATGTTGGGTTAAAGGCACATTTGTACACATGGATTAACAAACCAGAGTAAAGACACATAATAGGAAGTGTAGTCCTCAAACTTACCAGATTTTGGATATGTGATTATGAAGACATCGTCATCTCTAATTTCAAAGTCCTCTAGGTTTTCTAGTACGTCAATATCAATCAGGGAACGCTCAAAATTATAGCCTTTAAAATTAAATAAATATGTGTCTGTGTCATCCATAATTATTCACCTACAGGTAAAGACATGAAAATTTTTTAATTTCTTAGTGTTCTATAGTAATGACTACCATTTCTTGAAAACTTCATATGGGCTGTACACCATTTAAATGTCTTATCAACTCATATACAATAGTAAACATCTGACAAATATTAAATCATTTACTCTTCACAGCAACTGATGAAGTAGATATTGTCATTATTACTATTTTAAAGATGAACAGACTGAGATTCTAAGAGGTTGAGCACCTTTCCCTAGAACTCACTGAATGAGGCATTGTCAAAATCTCAAACACAGAGATGAAGAAATTGAGGCATGAAGAAGTTAAGTAAATTGCTCAAAGTTACCCAATTAACAGGACACAGACCAGGATTTGATGCAGGCACTCTGGCTTCAAGGTCCATGTTTTAACCACTTCAATATAGAGTTTTAGTATTTTATATTTTGCATTGGTTTCATTGTTACCACAGTAGTGAGTTCTTTAATGAATACATTTATCATCTGTTGTTTTCTCAGGAGCATAATTGATCT